ATAAACGGACAACGCCATGGCAAAATACGCAAAAGACAAAAAGACAAACAACAGCACACAAACACAACATAGAAAACTAAAGACTTAGCAACACGAACCCCACCAAAAAGCCGGGGTGAACTCGGGTCCTACGGAAGTGTTAGCAGATCCTGCTCCACATGTGGCACCCGTCGTGTTGATCATGCTCATATCGTATCAACTAAAAGATATATACTTTACAAAGTTTGAAATAAAGGTGTTCTTTTAAACAACTGCAGTTATAGCTTGGTCTGGCATAAAGTACGTGGCCTTTTTACAGCCAATTATATGAAAGGACTGTCTTTATATTACGATTTAAATCTAAGTACAATTTTTTTATTGAATACATCTTACATCTTGTGGTAAGTTGTTCTATTCACTTTGTCTGTTTGTCTTTTTGTTTTTTAGCCATGGCGTTGTCAGTTTATTTTTCGACATATGAATTTGAATGTCCCTATGGTATCTTTCGCCTGTCTTTAACTGATGAACCACTGTCACAGGTAAGGGGGTTGAGCGCTCATACTTTACCACACTACAGTTTTGCCAGTTCCAAGTCAGGAGCCTGTGATTCAGTTATTGTACTTAATTGCTGTCTGCAATATTTGGTTTTTTCAATTGATTTTAGCGTAAATAAGGCCGTTGGGTTTCTCTTTTCAATTGTTTCACAGTTTTTCATGCAGGCGTCTGACTATGCGGTATGGGTTTTGTTCATTGTTGAAGGCAGTACGGCGACGACATAAAGTTGGTTAAATCCTCGTCATTTGCTCTCTGTCAAATAGTTTTCTATTTGACAATTACATCGCAGCTCCTTATTTTTAAATTGAGGAATAAAATTACTGTTTTTGTTTGACATTATAAGATATGTCTGTTTCTCTAATTCTTTGACAATTTATACCTTTCTGCACTCATTGTATAAAAAAATTTAATCAACGTGTGGTTGCCGGTGATCTCAGAAGATGATTGGATGAATTTAAGGGTCATAACCTTTATCAGCTCAAAATATGCTAACAGGTGTTAATGAAATTGACAACTTTGTGAAATGTGGAAGGCACTCGAAGGGGGTTTTGGTTTAGCAAAAAATGAAAATGTATTTTTTAATCATTAGAGAAACAGATTCTTACATAGTTACTCGTGAATTATCGGATTTATCCAATCTCGATAGTTAAATTATAAATTTTAAAGTCCTCGCCAAGGCTCAGACTTTAAAATTGATAATTTAACTATCTCGATTGGATAAATCCGATAATCCACTGGTATCAATGTAAGAATCTATATGTCTCGACTCATTTTCGACATGTTATCCGACAATAGGTCTTTAGATAACAAATAACAGTCTAATCTGTAAATTTACCAATTGTGTCCTTCTTCTGATTATGACTGTTTGACTGAGTAGGGATTTTTCATGGCGGGTGATGCGTGCATAGCATGGGTCTGTTACCCTGTTGACACACCCAGTCTCGTTCCTTTTGTAGTTCATGCGATTCCCTCAGTTGTTATTTTACCTTGATGTGTATCAGCTTAATTGGTTGATTGTATATTTGAACATCCATAAACTATGGTTGCCTACCATTTCAAAATTTGACACGGTGAAATGCCAAATTGGTGTTGACGACTCTATGAATGCAGTACTGTTATTTCTATTCTAATGCTATGCTAGACATATGAAAAAAAAATATTTGAATAATCTTGTAAACGTCGACTGCCAATGCACAAAGTTGGTTTCAATGACTCCGGAATTTATGTTAGACGTCGTTCAACTAAAAGTTAGTGGGATTTTTGGTAAAAATCACCGTTGCCCAAGTCAAAGGATTTTAAGTTATTTTATAGACTGATATATATAGGAACGATTGCATCAAAAATATGATTTCTACAAATCTAAACAATCAGCAGAAATTTCAGATTTCTCCTTTAAGGCTTCACTCCTCAAGCAAGCTTAACTTTAGACGGTCTCGCCAGTTCTGTTTAGGCCTTCTTTGTTCAAATTAACTTTTTGTTTTCAACTGTTGCATTGTTAAATTTTGGATGCTGTCTCATTAACATATATTCAACATCTTCAAAGAACTACTTTATTACATGTTTAAAAACACTTATTTTGACAGATCACACGAAAGCTTAGGAAAAATGTACATACAAAATTGAATATATCATTAAGTAAAAATGCATGACAACAGATTCAAAGCTTAAATAAAATTTGTCGCAAAATTCAGAATTTTAATTGTTGAGGTACTGTATATGTATATTTTTTTCGCGTGTACTTTTTTCGCGTGTACTTTTTTCGCGAATTTCGTATTGCCGATGAATTTTTGTGTTTTTAATTTCGCGGTATATCCAAAATTTTAAAACATTAGAAACAGACTAAAAATATTTTAATGTTATTAATCAGGTCTTACAATATTTATTTAAAAATATGTAACTAAATAAACAAACATTACTCAATCATCAAAACAGACGTCTGTTCGATAGAAGCTAATACAATGTAATATTATCGGATTTAAGTTGCAAGTTATACGAGAAAGCTGTAAAATTTGGCTTGAGGCATTATTTGTTATATTTTGTCCTTTGATCCTTAATTGCTTTTCTGTACGGATCACTGGTGTTTGTTTTTTTTTTACAGTTTCACAGTTCAATTGAGGTAATGAACGGTAAACAAGGTAAACATGAAAAGCAGTTGTATATGTAATAGTTATACACAGAGGGATAGGTGTGTCTGGATAAGAAACCCCGTCGGCCGGGGGCCGGAGGGGTTTCTTATCCAGACACACCGTATCCCGAGGTGTATAACTAACTTACACCCCATTCTAAACCCGATATTTGTTAACATTGATTATCAAATGAATAAATAACCGATAGCATATTTATTGATAATACCAAACCATGATTTATAAGATTTTTTTTTTTATTACATGAAACCCCACTAGTAACCTTTCTTTGGTTATTTTCGTTCAAACTGTGACAAGTAAGTATATTTTACAAATGTCAAGTTGTTTTGCATATTCCCGTTAAATCCTGTGCTAATATGGATCAGAGGGTCAAGGTTGACCGTTTCGTGTATTCTTATTACAAACAAACAATACATCATGTTCCTTGTATGCAGTTGTCAATATGGACGGGTATAAGACGGACGACATTTTGTGGCAAGCATTGGATTTGGTAGAAGAGACTTAAGATAAAGGCAATATTATAACCCAAAGTACTGACAGGTATCAGTGTAATAAAGGTAATCATAACTGTATTTTATACCTTATGGTTTTATACCCTCCCCCCCCCTTCCTTCTCGAGAATAAACAAACATTTATATTCCAACATACTAAGGGATAGGTGTGACCCGACTATCAGACACGCTCAACATTCAAAGAAAGAGATTTAATATTTAGGAACTCCCTTTTTAGGGGGCAAACGGGGACTGATCCAGCTGGGGGTTCCCAACTCAACAGAAAAGGGGGGTCCAACAATTCAAATGCATTGATCTTTTTGGGTCCAAACCGCGGAAAACCACACCAGATCGGCCAATGGGTAACCGGGGGGGGGGGGGGGGAGGGGTCCCGGGAGTTAGAATCCCCATTTTTTTAAAGACCAATGCTTAAGAATAGAGACATATGACTGGAATAAAATAAATTACTTCAAGCAAAAGAGTATTTAAAGGATTATTTTTGTATTCAAAATAGATGCTTAATTCTTTTTTTCGCTATTGGAATTTCCTAAAATGTGTTTTTTAATATCTTGAAACAATTTGTAGTAAACACTATTAGTAATTTCTGATGTTCATGCTATTTAAAAAATAATCAATTTCTATTGTTACGAATAACAATGGACTTTGTTTGCGGGATGTAGAAGCAGGGGTTTCCAGAAACCCCGCTCGTCACACCCTGTGGTCAAAATCCTTTGTTATTCGTAACAATAGATCTATTCAATTTACACTTATTTCAGAAATAGAAACTATGAAGTATAACAATAGAACTGGGGTGTAATCCAGAATATGTATTAAATGGATTTATATGCATGTAAGCTTTCTAAGCTGCATATATATTCGCGTGTATTTATTTAGACTAACCGCGAAATTCGTGAAAATAAATAAACCGCGACAAAAAATACATATACAGTATTCTAAAATGAAATTTTATAACTGGTTAAGAAGAAGACGATGAGCAATGTACGGACGGACGAAAGGACACAACAATTAGTATAAAAAACCCTGCTTCAATAGGCTAATGAAAGATACTCCTTCTGTCATTCTCTTAGTTGATGACAAAAATAAGATGAAATTTTATAGAATTTTTAATTTTTTGTTGTCCAAACATTTGTTGTTTATCGATATCCAATACAACTAAAATGAAAATCACACTTTATAAATCGTATACGTCCAAAGAACGTTTCTAGATTTACCCTACCAGAAAAGCTCAAAGCCAAAAATTGAAAACCAAGTAATGTAAAAGTATTGGGTCACGTGTAGAGTTAGGTGCAAAACATCTCAATATAACGGTAAAACATTTGACTGAAGACAATCGAACTTCGCAATTACAGTTGGGTATCATATTATTGATTACAGATTTTTAAATGTTTAAATGTTTTTTTTTAATGAAGTATTAATAGTAGTCAATCCCGGTAACAAATATAACTATTATCCTTGCCTTATTCAATTACACCGCTCATTTTTATTGAAAGAAATGATATTTTGCGTTGCATATATTTCTATATTCACCAATGAAGTAATTGAAATATACCTAACCAATATTCTATTAAGGTTAGAATGCTGGGTCACTGTTAATAGGCAGCAAGCTTTGCATACCTAACATCGGTCAATGTTATTTGTGAAAAGTGACACGAGTACAAAATTCTTTTTCATAAAGACCATGATCCAATTTTTCAGGGTAGTCATGACATACTTTTCAAAGTTTTTATACAGGAAACACTTCTTGTTTTCCGATTTCCGTTCGGATATATTTATTAATGTATAATGTTATGACGATATATGAATTGTTTTGTTATACATTATAATGACATATACTGTACCTATCCTTCTCATCGTAATAAACATTTAGATCTGTGATGCATGAAGAATAATAAGATTTTAGATGATAAAAAATAACATTTATCTAGGGACTAAAGGTAAGTGTGTGTTTTATACATGTAAAGTATCTTTGAAATAAATAAATGTTTGTTAAATTCCGGTTTCACTGTTTTACATAAATCGAAAATTAATAGGCGACAAACATATGTTATAATAAAAATGTCTTAACGGTACGAACATATAAGTAAATTGCATACCTAAAAAAAACACGCTATATTAAACATGCTTAAAAGACCACTGTTTTGGGTTGGGTTCAATTAGACATATTTTAAATGTGACTAAAATAATTGTCGTTCTCTGTAATTTGCAGTCAGGTCAAACATGGAAGTAATATTGAGAGGAATAACAACGACTAATTAGCATGTATTTATGGCCTGCAGAGCTCTGTACTAAAGTCATATGATTTTATCCAATTATAGTCTCAGCGGCAAGACCCCTTTGGTTACTATCTGTGATACCGCGGTTGTAAAATGGCATCTTGAATTTCTTATCAGTCACGTGATTTTATCGAGAACAGTAATTATAAAGCACCTGTGTGAAATCCTAGTTTATTAATTAACAAGGTGGCGCTGTATCATATAAAACTTCTACCTTCAAAAAGAAATCGAATGATGTAAAAAACTTGAAAAACGGACGAGAATTGTTTACACTACAGCAGTTAAACATGGAAAATTGTATTTATTTTTGCATATTTTTGCTTTTTACTGTTCGTTTTAAAATGATCTAAAAGTATTTTCCGATTGAAAGCGGATCCCGAGTAAAACAGGTAATACCGACAAAGCGATCAGGTTTCACATGATGTTTAACAAAATAATGAAGACAAATGAAGACATAGATTTTTTTACTGTTGAAATGTGCAAAGTTTATCGAGATTTAAAAAAGGATATTTACTTTCAAGTATTTTAAATTTATGTATATATGTAATAAATGTCATTGATTACATTATTGAAACTGGACAACTAAAATCGGGATAATAAGTTCGTAAATATCTATTTTTAAAAAGTGTTTTAATACAGTTAATATATAACACGCTACAGCTAAAATAAAAACAAACAGACAAAATGAGCTTGACCCTATCTGCCTAACCGCAAATTCATTTATATGAATTAGTTTAAAGAATAGAAACGTTTGTGAATATTTTAATTGACTGGTATACACGCATGACTTGGATTATTCATATTTAATAAAAGGGGGTCCAAACATTTTTTTTGTACAATCATATTCTTAAATTTTTAAGAAATGGCGTCTTAACTGTCTGTAAATATTAAAATTGAAAACGATCCACCCATGTCCTCCAGTTTTTTAGATCGAAATAAACAGAAATAGGAAAATTAGACTAAAAGCAACATTGAACGAATTACTCTATTCGGCAGCGTACATCAGCGGAATGTAACGAGTGGACTATTCTGGTTACTTCGCACGTATATACGACAACAACTTGTCTATTCGTAATTTTCCGTGAACACGAAAACGACCGAAAAGTGTCAGTGATTTGATCGATCACATGCCGAGAGTCAATTACCATGCCATATATTAAACCAATTAACGAGTTATCGAAAGTTGGGCGGTAACGCAGATGAAACCTTTGAACTGGCGTTGTAGTTATTCCTTTCAATATTACTTCCATGGGTCAAACAAGAAAAAACTATCTTTTTTTAGTTGATCCTATGGAGGGTTTGCAATTGTTTAACGTGTTTTAGATTTATTAATACATCAGCAGGTTAGAAATTTTAAGTCTGGTATCTATGATGAGTTTACTTGGTAGAAGTCCTATATTAAGTCGTTCTTCTATATATAGCTTTTGTCTATCTATAAATGGACATCGAGTATTGAAAACTATAAAACCTCGCCAAATGTGCATGTACTTTGCCGAGAAACCCGTCAGTTGTTGTTTAAGTTTTTTTTCACTTAGGAGTTTGGTATTGATGGTGAATGTTTGCTAGAATCCGTTGAATTTATTTATTACTTTTTAAAACATAACAACAATTAATAGAGATCAACCAGTGGTAAGAAATGGATGCCAGTGACATGTTCTAATTTCTAATTTTTAAAAGTTGACGTTTGTGGAAGCCGCATGCGACGTTTCCGTAGATTTTACTATTTAGCTGGATACTTCAGCTGTTGATATAATAGCGTATGTGTGTGGCCAATGTTGAAATTCTTCATCAATATTAAGTATTCTAATGAATGTTGATTTACTTGAAGTTTTGTAACTGAAACTGTAAAGAATATACTTAATTGCTGTCAATTATCACAAATATCCATTGAAATAATTGCAAATTTGGTTCCAAACTTTACTAACTTCATATTAAAGAAAAAAATAATTTCAATTTAAAGACAAAACAAAATAGACGATTAAACAAAAAAGGAGTCCACAAAACAATACACATAACCAACACGAATCCCCACCAAAACCCAATTTATTTATCGTATGTTGCAGTGATGGCTATTTCATAGAGTAAACAGAACATTATGGCTGTAAACTATGTTACGAGATCATAAACACAGGCACTTGTCTGAAAAAAAATCCTATATACCTTAATATAACAAATATATGTTATATTAAGGTATATACGGGGGAAATTTTCAGAGACAAGTGCCTGTGATAATAAACTATTGACGGACACGTCCTCTAATATGATAATTACAAATTCTCAATCGTCAGTATTAATTATAATCTAATTGATATACTTTAGTGATAATGTTTCATGTACACATATAAACAGTGGACTCTGGTGCTAAGTTCCTGCAAACCACTAGTTACATTCGCTGAACCTGCTTTACAACAAATTTGTTTAAATATTTGTTCACATTACTTAATAAATTTTCATTGAGTGGGATTACTTAATTATGGGTATTTGTCAGTATCCTGTAATCCAGCAGTTGTCCTTGGTTGCTGTCTGCAATTATATTGGTTTTCATTTATCGTTTCAAAACATGCCGTTAGTTTTCTTTTTCAACTTGTTAACATTTTGTCATCCCGGGGCCTTTTAAAGTTTACTATATGGTATGTAGTTTGCTCACTGTTTAAGGCCGTATTGACGACCACATTTGTGAATATCCTCATGCTTTTCATGATGATATCTAGTGGATAGTTGTCACATTGGCGTTCATATCACATCCCTAAATTTTTATATTGTGTTTAACCAAGTTCAACTTTGAGACTTTGAAACCAATGTTTAATGAACTTATCAATACCAGAATATATAGTTTTTTTTCTAAATTTACCTGAACATAAGTGAACAGAACATCTTAGATTTGCTTAACTTGTGGGCAAATGAATATCTTGTAATAACGTATAATTAAAGGTATTCAGTCCATAAGGCTCCGTGTTGAAGGCCGTACTTTAACCATAGTATCATTGTTAATTTTAATACATTGTGACTTGGATGGAGAGTTGTATCATTAGCACTCATACCACATCTTCTTATTTATATACATAAGGGTCTGGGTGTGGGGTTCTTCGTTTCTGTATTCTTTATTTCCGTGTCATTTTTCTCTATTCTTTATATGTTTTGTCAGTTATTCTTTATTCTTTATATTCCAGAACCACATTATTCTCTTTTCTTTATTTGTTAATCTATTTTTTCTATTATTTATTTTTTGGGGTCGATTTTTCTTTACATTTGCCTAGTATTCTCTATTCTGTCAATCCTATCCATATCCTCGTCCATACCCGTTCTGGTGACTTTAAATTAGTAATATCAATATTCAAAGGATTTATAAAATAATTTCTTTACACTATTTTGCAGAGCTGATTGAGAAAAATGGTCAGACTACCAAAGACAACCACAGTTTCACAATTAACAGAGTCCCTTTTGGGAGAATTTCTTAACGTTTCAACAACGACATCTCTAACGGAATATTATTTAGATGTTTCGACGGCAACACTGGAACAACTAAATAGAACCAAAGCATTCAGTTTAAAAACTTATTTTGAAAGTGGTGCATACATTTATTACGGATATGTAGGGCCAATAATTACCTTTTTTGTTACTATAATGAATATTATGCTCATTGCAACAATTATCAAAGGAAATTTCAGGACTTCTACGCATGCCGTTATGGTTGCTATAGCAATTGCTGATATTCTTACCGGCATAATACCAGTTCCTTTCAACATTCAAGTTTTTAGTGTCAAACGCAGTAAAGACTACTTAAAAATAGAATGGTGCTATATATTTGAAATTTGTCAAGTTATTCTTCCAACAGTTTTTCATCTTATATCATTAAGCCTAACAGTCGGACTATCAATAGAAAGATTTTTTGTAGTTTCGTTTCCATTGAAAGCAAAACGATTTTGCACTATGAGAAATGGGATTCTTTTCAGTATTTGTGTATTCGTTATAAGTTTATGTGCCCAGATTGATACATTTGAAGACATAACATATGATCCGGTCAAAATCACATCTACGAATGGAATCAAACTAACAGGATGCAGACGATCAGTAAAGGACAGATCTGATAGAGAATACATAACACGGATGTTTATTCTACGTTTTATTCCATGTATGCTTCTTGTAATTTTCACTATTCTTTTACTTCGGAAATCGTCTGACATCCAGGAATGGCGGAAATCAACTACTTCTTCGTCCAGTGCAACATCGTCGTTAGAGCGAATGGATTTTGCTGTATCTTTGATAGCAACCATTGTTTTTTTGACAGAAATCACTATGGGCACTTTGCTGCTTAATGATCACCTCAATTCCCGACGAAAAATAACATCAAACCACGCCCTGCTTTCTGGTATTACATATGTAGTTTATATGGTTACCAGTCCTATCAACTTTGCAATTCTTTGCTTTCTTAGTAAAAAGTTTAGACAAACATTTCTATGTATGTTTTGCAGACATTAATGACATGGACTATTTGAATGGAAGATTATGAAAAAACTTCAGTTGCAAACGTTGCTCATACGAACCAATATAGGATAATGTCTCATTTTGTCCATCATCATGTTTAAGTCATATTAGACGAAGTGAAGAAGACTTGGTGACTTAAACATGATAAATATACTGTACAGTTCTTCAATTTGTTACAGGACTTATAATATCAATGTTTCATCAAATATACATAAATCGGATGTTTGAATCAATACACTAATTTCCTTATTGGCTGAGTTCTCTACTTCTAAACATTTACAAATAATCGTATTATTCTTAAAACTCTCTTTCCACAGAAGAGTTATAAACCTCAGAAAACATATTTATTAACCTGGAACTACGTTCTCCTTAAATATGAAGAATTATGTTTGATTTCAGTCAAATTTGCTGATAATTTAGATAACTCTCCATGATCATCAAGTTAGAGTTCGAGTAAAAATTTGAGTTTTTGTTCGAGTTAGATTTTAAGTTTGAGTTGAAATGTAAGTTAATTGCCAAATACATATACGAGTTTGGTTAAAAAAAATATTCAGGTCAGAGTTCGAGCTAAAACTCCGAATTTGCTTTTTTTTGAGATGGCATTTCCTTAATCTATGTTTTAAGAGATCTAGAGGAACTATTATGTGACTCTTTTCATGAATTTCCAAATATCATTATCATACATATTATTTGTCCTAAGTTGTTGATTTTAACAACGTGTTCCCGAGTAAAAGACGTGTTAGATAAATGATTACTTTTGACAAACTACAAACGAGAGTCGAGAGACGATAAACACTTCAAAGGGATCGTCTCAAAAGACGTATCAATTTTTTCTATCGTTACCATAATGCATTATGTAAAGTCATATGAAACATGATAAAGTTAGGATTTTATTATTTTCAGTCAATTAAATTGCTCCCTCTTTCTACCAAACCAGCGCAAAGTTCAACAATCTGATCTATTTTCCAGTGCGGATGACGCCACATTGTACTTTATAACATTAATATAAAAATAAGAAGATGTGGTATGATTGCCATTGACTCTCCACAAGAGACCAAAAGACACAGAAATTAACGACTATAGGTCACAGTACGGCCTTCAACAATGAGCAAAAGCCGATACCACATAATCAGCTATTAAAGGCCCCGAAATGACAAATGTAAAACAATTCAAACGAGAAAACTAACGGCCTAATTTATGTACAAAATAATGAACGAAAAACAAATATGTTACACAGCAACAAACGACAACCACTGAATTACAGGCTCCTGACTTGGGACAGGCACATATAGAATGTGGCGGGGTTAAACTAGTTTATTGGCGTCAAACCCTTCCCTAACCTGGGTCAGTGGCGTAACGGCACAACATAAAAACAAACTATGCAAAACAATAAACAGAAAACAAAAATGAGAAACAGCAAAAAACGACAACCACTCAATTACAGGCTCCTGACTTGAGACAGGCACATATAAAATGTGGCGGGGTTAAACTAGTTTGTTGGCGCCAAACCCTCCCCCTAACCTGGGACAGTGGTGTAACAGTACAACATAACAAACTATAAAAATCAGTTGAAAAAGGCTTAACTCATCAGATGGATACAAATAGAATTACATCTAAAAAAAACACAGAGTGGACGTGGACGGGTACTTAAACATCCAAACAACAGAAAGACACTAAGTACAGATTTGATAGTACTCGCAGTTACTGACAGCTAGTTCAAATCCAATAACAACTAATGAAAAAAAAAATCATGCATCCAAGACTAAAAGTCTGCCAATAGTATGTTCGATATGAACTTGAGATAAAGGTTACAACAGTTGCAGTTAAGTCTGTCACATATCTTGACTAAAAAATGACAATGAGGGTCGGTTGAAAACAAAACTTTACGACAAAAGAGATGATTGCATACGGAGTATATATCTCCCAGTTGATACGATATTCCAGGACTTGTATATCCTATCATGATTTCCTTGATAGAGGGTTGCCACTCACAAGGCAAGAGTTCCAAGTGGTGAAGTTAAAATCATCCCTTCGTAAATTTTACGGACGCCATCACGAGTTGGTTGACCATTATGGAATATCCGTTTCACAGATGATAGTGGATATGTTCCAAATGTCGTAACTACAATCCCGTCCCCTTTTCCCCGAATGTGACCTACCGAATTAGACTTATTACCGGGTTTGTACTCACATGGGCAACACGACGGGTGCCACATGTGGAGCAGGATCTGCCAACCCTTCCGGAGTACCTGAGATCACCCCCAGTTTTTGGTGGGGTTTGTGTTGCTCAGTCTTTAGTTTTCTATGTTGCGTTTCATGTACTATTGTTTGTCTGTTTGTCTTTTTCTTTTTTAGCCATGGCGTTGTCAGTTTATTTTCGACTTACGAGTTTGAATGTCCCTTTGGTATCTTTTGTCTCTCTTTTTCTACATTAATTTTGCATTCTTCAATGCGACGATTAAGCTTCTTGCATTTAGAACGGTCTCTTCTTGTTTTATGACGCAATTGGTATTTTTTTAAGGCGCCATTATTGGATAACGATTAGAATATATTTTATCTGCTTATGTAAAAAGCTTCTATGGGAAATCAAGCTGAATTCCGTGTCCTTTCAAGGACAACCACTCGTTATGTGACATCCAATCCAATGGAGAAAATATCTCCCACAACAACGGTACTATATACCATCAATTGTATGTGACACAGTGAATGAAGAAACATCAAACAACAAAGACAAAATCGAATAACACAGATATGTTCTTAGCCACAAATTACCATCAATAGGCGATTTCTGGAAGACCAGTTGGCATATGTCCGATTCATAAGGAAGTAAGTGCCAATATTTTAAAGGCTTTTGGCATTGACTCAAAATCTGATTCTGATACTAATTAAAATAAACAGAATATCCTAGTGTATGACTCGTGTATTTTTTTTTAATATATATCGCTATGTCATAAAAAACTTTAAATATAATACAGACGTTCTGATTCGTGACATGTAGTTTGAGTTTTTCTCTGAACTGCAAAACATTATCGTCGAGTGAGGTAGCATTGTCGGATCCAGAAGGGGGAGGGGGTCCGGGGAAAGGAACTCCCCCTTGTCTTCCGATTTTCTTTTTTTTTTATTTATGTGAACGTTTCACGATGTTCCACCTTTTCAAAAAATCTGTATCCGCGCCTGGGTAGCAGTTAAACAATTATTATTGTACCGAGTTAATCAATAACTAATTTTACTCTTTTGAGATTGTCCATAATTCAAATGTCTCAACTATTGACTCTCGACTCTAGTTATTTATCTAACATGTCTAATATATGAGAAGAATGATTTAAATGATATACTGGCAGAATTATTAGTCATATACATAATTATACATATTTGCAAAGAATCATGTATCGTTATTAACACTAGAATATTAAGGAAATTTAGTATATTTTTGATTTTCCAATATGATATTATATATCATGTATATATGCTAATAGAATTTCATATATAGAAAATCTTGTTCATCTATTATTACTTGAACTTCAAAAAAGTGCATATTTTATTTACAAACATGTTCAGATTTAAAGTTTTATGATGTGGGAAAATGTTGATCTTTTGATTATTTAAACATACTGGTTTTACATATGCATGTTGATCGTTATATATATATAACTACTGTCATTATGTATACTGACATTTCTATGGAAATCAGTATCCTGGAGCAGTCAGTACTACGCCAGTTATCAAATAAATAAATTACAGATTTTCATAAAGAGAAAGTTAGAAATAAAATCTCTATATATGAAAGAGACTTAATTGGGCCGTTAGTTTTCATTCGAATTGTTTCACATGTTGTCATGTCGACGCCTTTTAATGGTACGGTGACAAGTACAGTAAAATTTTAAAATTTAATGGACAGAAATACCTCACAGCTAATTTTGTCTTTTTTTGAAGATAAATATAATACCCTTTGATTAAATCATGTCGGAAGAGTGCCAAAATGGTGCAGATTTTTTAAAACTTGGTCAAAGGTCAAAAGGGTGGTTTTAAAAAATCACAATTTTGGACATTTTGTACAATTTCTCGGTCGTCCCTCATGATAACTGAGAAAAAATTCAAAGGAATTTTGCACAAATTCAGCTTTTCATATTTATGCCTGATTGCCAGAGATTAGTGATGTATAATCCCTCTTCCAACATGTAAGAAAATGAAAAAGATATCTTTATCTACGGAAATTATCGACAAAAAATATTTATATTTTATATTTAGCTATGCAATAATATATAACAACATATAAAGATATTTTTGGGAAAGTTTTGTTAACATGCCATAAAGAACAAATAAAGGAGAAATAAGTACTGTAAAATTAACTCCCGGTCCATGATTCAATGAAAAAATGATGAAACTCATTATTGATTATATAAACCCAAAAGAATGTTGGAACTATAAAAAATAGTCTTGATGCATACATGTCAGCATGAACACGATAGTATATGAAGGTTTTTTTTTATGTTAATAGGTCAATTAGTACAAAAACAATAGCATAATAAAAACATGTGTCCCCGTTTTTATAAAACAACACAAACAATAGAATACTTAGTATGTAGCAGACTTGACTAAACCCGATTTGAAGCCCGATATATATATGTGAATTACAAACAAACATGATTTACACACACATTATTTTGTTTGTTTGTTTTTAGTTTTGGTTTTTTTTAGAGAGAGAGAGCTCCCAAACCACATCAAGTCTTATAAAACAATCTGACGAGTAAGCTGGATTTCTACAATCACCACTGCCCTGACAACAACAAATGTTAGTGCTTGGAAAATTCTGTTTGTAGCATACGTAATATTTTCGACAAATAGTTTTGAATTTACATGTACAAACAAGGTCCTGCAAAAAGTCAGATGCCATTGGATTCAAAATATATTGAAACTATGAAGCTATTCCCCACATCCATATTCCAAAGGTGATCTAGGTGGTGGCTTGGCGATAGAAGCATTCATCCAGAAAAACTCGAAGAATATGCTGTCTGAATGATGCCTTTGAATGGAGGTAGTCTCACTAAGGAAGCATCCTTAGAAAGCGCCGACTTCACTCTTAAGTTTATTGAGATCACCATGTACTGATTGAACATTGTTCCTGGTGTCATATAGATCCGCGATGAATTGACTTTTCACTGCAACAGATGTGTCAATATTAAAACCAGCTAAATTGACAAACTTTGATACATGTTTGGGTTTTGTTTCAACTCCTTATAACTGTCTGTTTGCCAATTCCGATTAAAGAAAACGTGTCGCATCCTGTAAGAGCGTGAGTAGCTGTGCCAGACATCAGTGGTCCAATAATTGTGCATATGTCGTGAACAGGTAAAAACCGTTTGCGTCTTTGGTTGAAGAAACCCATCCAGTAAGAAACTTCAATTCATCATCATTGACATCTGAGGAAAATACCTTATACAGAGAAGTAAAACATAAGTGTCTGATGATTTTAATATAATGCGACCCCTCTAATTACTTTTTTAGCAAAAAGAGACGTCAGAATAATTCTTATATCTTCCTGTGTAAACTGAACAACTGATTACAGTCACTTACAGATCTGGCACAAAACTGCAACACAGTCTATAGATTTTGAAAAGATCCCGCTAGGAATTATATTTCGTCATGATCTTCAAATCAAAATCATTGTAGTGCTGGAGTGCATGATCACCTACAAATCTTATCAACCCCTGTTTATTTTCGGGTGCACAAAGACATTTCTTACAATCTCTAAATGATCTGCCTTCAATGACCCTAAGAACCTTAGATCTACAACCATTTGAAACAGATCTCCTTATTCATTCTGCTGATTTTGTAGAATGTTCCACATCATATCAACCAAACACGTCCACGACACCCCAACGTTTTCAAAACA